CTGTAAGAGGAGAGCAGGTCCTCATATTAGGGAACTTGAACTAAACTTTTTGCACTGATGGGAAAAGGTTATTTATTCATAATATACTGCATTATAAAAGAAAAAACCCATAGAACCCCAGTCAGTGTGCAGCACATTGTGTAAAGAGGCTGACTCTAACTTTGGCCATTTAGATTTAAATAAAAGCTCGTCTATGCTGCCCTTGTACATCTCCCACACAATAAATTCAGAAAAGAAAATTTTATTCCACTGAACAAGCCATCTCAGACTTTTAGTATATATTCTTTATGGCACAGAGCGCAGATAAAAAGAAAAAAAAGATGTTAAAAGTGAATTGGAAGGAAATTTCAATTAAGGGAGTTAGCTGAGGAAACTCTGGCCTGACCTGAGCCGACCACTGTGGAGGCTTTTGCTGCTTTTATTCCCTCTGCTGACAGATGGGAAGGCACACACACACACACACTCACATATACACGCACAGACACATGCACTACACAGCGTTAAAGTTTATTTTTCACTTTAAAGCACTATCCTGACGAGTGATTTCTGGTTGAGTAGCTTTCAGGTTGGCTTTTGCTCTTATTCAGTCATCAAACACAAACCTGCAAATCAGTTTTTCTGTCTTCTGCTGACGTGTTTGAAGGTAGAAATCTAATCTGTGCTGCTTGACTCAAGCTTTGAGACACTGGGGCTGAAGGTGGCACGGAGAAAGTCTGCCACTCATAGCATAACAAAGTACTTGTCTTACATCAGGGGTTTCCAACCTGTTTGACAACACAGCAGGCATGAAAAAGATGACAGGCTTGTATTCAGGAATACAGGCTGTGTGGAAAGCAAATGGAGGAATGCATCATCAGCAATGATCCTAATGGAAGCCACCTGGGCCCATTTCAACTTTTATTATTATTATCTCACTGTGTTAAATATTTCATTTTGATTGGTCACATCCCAATAATAAGGCTAATTATCCTCAGTAGCAAAATCAGTGCCACCGACTACGCAGAGGCACCAATAGTTGTGATTTTTATGGATCACAAAAGCTGAAACATGGAATATGCAGTCTTTGTGTTGAAGCGTCAACTACTGTAGAGTCCTAAAATTGAAGTGTAAAGCTTCAGTGTTGTGTTTCATTTTCTGCTTCAAAGGTTTTTACATTAGCGATTGGTCAGGAAATAAAATTAACATTTCATACCATTAGACTGACTCTTCCTGCTGAGATAATGAATGCTCAATTAGTGCGCTAATGAACACAGCAAAATCAATACTCCTGCTCCTGATTTATGTCCCACTCTTTTAATAGAAAAAAAAAAGCTACACAGGGTGGACTTTGACCATGATTTCTCTATTTTCACCCTGCACTAAATCAAGACATCTGAATGTTTGATATGTTCTTCAAAACAGTGTGAAAAGAGATCCGTGGAGAGAGGATGATGGATGTTAAAAGCGTGCTCAGATTTGAAAACAGAGTGTTAGTATGGCTGCGTTGTATCCTGTGGGTGAAACTGCCTTCTTCGCTTAAATCTGCTCTGAAGTTTACAGTGAGCACCATAGTTCAGAATGAGGAGAGCTTTCATGCTGCGTTCAAACGCTCCTCACTGCAGCTGAGAGCCGCTCTCGTTCTTCCCGACCTGAAGACCAGCTCAAATTAACTTTCAACTGCCTTCAAAAACAGAGAATTAATAACTGATTAAATCTGCCAGGGCATTGTTAGATCAAATTTAATCATAAATAATGTATTTTAGAAACGCACCTTTGCACCCCATCAGTTTTCAGATTTTCCGCAGGTTGCTAACTAACACTGACTGAGCCCGGCCGGTGTGAGTGCTGGTTTCTCTGGTGGTTACCGTGGGTTACCTTTGTGTAGACTGAATAGAACATCTGTGATCTAATAATATCCCTTCTACCATGCATATTTCATGTGTTTTCGCAGCTATTTCTCAAGCCTGCTTTGGTGAGTCATTTAGTCATACATTTTGGTTGTCACTACATACCTTGGCAAATCATGTTCCATTTCCTCCACAAATTACAGCTCATGTTTAATTCACAGCCGATACATACAGTCTAATTTGACCACAGTAAATTATTCAAGTAAAAGATGATAGATGAAGAGAAACAGATTAGTTCTGTGACTTAATCAAACCAACAAACCCAATGCAGAATGTAAACTGAACATTTGCCCGCATTATTACCTCTCCCTTCTGCTCCAATAGATTTGCCAAGACATGATAAATAAAAGATTAATATTTATACTGTTAAACCCGACGGTGGAGCGAATGATTTGACTGAAGTATTGAGCGATGCTCTGAACCACAGAGTTTTCAAAACTAAATCCCAGTCTTCATTTAAAGCTGCAGCAGTAAACCTTTGCACAGTTCTCTGGCAACAGGTGTTAAAAGTGTGTGTGCGTGTGTGTCTGTGAAGTCCAAAAAGAAGTTTGAGTTTTACTACAGTGGATATTGGACATAAGATAATGTCTCCAGTTCTGTATCAAATTATCAAAAATAAGAAAACCACTGGCCTATATTAATCCCATTAATGTCTGACAAATATTTCAACCGTTCAATGAATAATTCCTATTATGACTCACGATTTGCTGTCACTCACTCTAGACTATATAAAATGAATCCCACAGGTATCTGTTCAGCTGGAAACCAAGAGATTTAGCGCTCTCTCAGCTGTCTGGTTGCAGAATCGGTTATAAACCCTTCACCATTAATGTTCACAAATATGAAAACAGCCAAACTATCCAATTTAAATTCCCGTTATTTTTCTTAAACACAGTGTTTATGTCCGAAATTGGTTCTCCTGTCACGTTAAGTTTTACTTAGTAAGTGTGAAAAGAGCATCCCGATTAAAATCTCTGTACACAAATTTAGGTTTCAGTGCTCTGTGCAGGGTTAGCAGAAAAGAAGAACAGCAGGATAACATTCAGTATGAAACCAAGAATGATGAAATAATAAAACAGAATTAAAAAAAAACTTAATTTCTGAGGCTGCATTATTTATTTATTTATTTATTTATTTATTTTAGAGATGCATCCATGATCCATAAGTTTAACACTAGCCTATCAGGAGAAGCCAACTCAACCATGTGAACTTCAGCAATCTTTGCATAGTTGCACTTTTCCCCCAGTACATAGACTTTAGTGATGGCATGTTACCACTGCACATGTTCTGCCTCTGAGAGAACTGTTTCCCTCTTTGGGACTGAAGCTTGATGACTATTGACCTGCTACAACATGACCATGCTGACAACTTGCCACCCAGCTCTGATTACCTGCCACTGTGTACAATTAAGTCCGTCAAGGTTGCGGCCTCCTTCATCCATTAATAGTTTAAAAGCAGCTAACCTCATGTTATGCGTGTCAGTAAGCCCAGAGGTTCGCAGCCATGACCGATGCAGTGAACCTCTAAGTGTCCAGTGTTAAATCACTACGTGACAGCACAAGTGTCAAACATTTGCACCACAGGTTCTCAGTTCCTGAATGGAGCTCACTTGAAATATACCAGCAGCTGACATGTCCAACACTACAGATCATTTTCATAAGCATTTCATTGTGAATGCTCACGGATAAATTTGTGTTAAGACCAATTTGAAAGTTGTCATCGGAGCAGAGCTTGTTTTTCACACATCATCTTGCACTTAAGCAACTTTTGTCTTTGACACTTTCAGACATGTTTGTACATAATCACTGATATTATAAGGTTTAGTGAAAATAAGGAAGTTTAGTAACACTTTACTTCTATCTCTAAAACGCATTATAAATATCTGTATAATGGGCTATAATCACATTATAGCACTGTATAACTATATTTATAAACAGTCATAAATGATCATTGCTTTAAAGCAATAATCATAACGCATAATGAGGCATTTTATCATGACTTACAAGGTCAGGTATTATAATGTGTTATAACTGTTAACAACTCACTGACAATGTCCATGTAGATAATGTACTATACATATATTTATAATGTGTTATAATTTGATTATAAACTTGTATAACTATCATTATAAACACTCATGAATGATCATAATGCTTTATAGCAATAATCATAACACATTATATAGCATTTTAGCAGGTATTTTGTGTTATGCTAATTGTTATAAAGCCTTATGTACAACTATCATCATTAACACTCATTACTTATCATGTTTATTAGCAAATTATAACACATCATAAATATATATATATAATGCATTATCTATGTGGGCAATGTCAGTGAGTTGTTAACAGGTATAACACATTATAATACCTGACCTTGTAAGTTATGATAAAATGCTTTATAATGTGTTATGATTATTGCTATAAAGCATAATGATCATTCATGAGTGTTACTACAGTTATACAGTGCTATAACGTGATTATAACACATTATACATATATTTATAATGCGTTACAGAAGAGAGGCATCAAGTAAAGTGTTACTAGAAGGTTTAAAGCTGAAATTGGTGAAATTATAGGGGTATAATGCTTGTTGTTAAAGAAAAGGTTAATAAAGCCCCTTTCTGTTATAATTCAAGGGTTTGTAATGCTTAAATATAATAGATTTTGTGAACAGTCTTTTCCTTTTAATAGAATGGACTCATGGGCAGATAGCGGGAGCAAATTGATGTTCCCACGAAGGCTTGTTTTGCTTTTAGATTGTGGACAATGAAACAAGTTATCAACCAGCCATTTAAGTCTGGGTCCTCTCTGGTGGGAACATGCACTATTCATTCAATAAAACCTTCTTACTGGTCAGGGACAAGTGTTGTTTCTTGCTTACCTGATGGAAAAGTATGCCAAACAGCCCCTGGTTATTGCTGACTGACTGCAAGATGAGAATTAGGTCTCCTTCTCCCTGACCGGCGAGTAAAGCCAGGAAAATTAACAGCTAATTTCCAAAGAGGTGACTAGGCTGTATAAAGCTTTTTTGAATAAACATTAGTATTTTGTTCAAGAAGGGAATAAGGTCTCTTAAATGTCATCAAATATTTGAAACCTCCTCCCTGTGCTTATGGAGTTGTCGGTGGTGTACGAGTGCAGGCTGCAAACCCGCCCATCTCAAACTCAGATGCAACAGCTAGTCACAGCTTTGGGAGCAGTCACAATGCTATCAATAGAGCTGGTACCTCAGAGCGAGAAAAGCTCATCAGGCTGTGCATTTCCAGCTGCTCCGTTACCCCCTGAGAGCAAAAAACTCAACACAGAGACTTTCAAAGTGCCGCTCTTGGGAATTGACAACACTGATCAGACTGCGTCACATCAAACAAAACCACCCTCGAATAAGTTGTCATCGCTGGCGCTGAAGTCTGAGGTGGTGAGATAAAAGTAGAAACAATACAGGGAAGACGTCTCATCTTATTTGTCACAATGAAGTACGGCAACATGCCAGCGTTACAGTATAACATCAGAGTGCTTCAAACAGCTCAATGATCCTGGCATACGCTAGTGTACACTGAACCAAGACATACATTTGACAGTGTAATTATTTGCCTGGATGAAGTTTAACATAATACTTTTTCCCAACTCATCTTAGCCTATATATGTAAGAGACCTATATTGTCAATTGCAGTGACGTAAATCAACAATCTCTGACTGTGAGAGGGAAACCAGATGGTGCGAGTGATCATGTCAACCTTGTACGGTGATCAACTTTAAGCTGTTGTGTAGTAAAAGTTACTGGAAGCTACATGTGGGTTCTGATTGTTTAACCCTTTTTTATGATAAACTAGTATCATCTCTTTAAAGATTATTATATGTCCTACTCTATCTATTGGAGTTGTATGAATCAAACGAAGCCTTTTTGATGCTCTCTTGTCTACTTGGATAACAAGCACTGCCTAGAATGTTTTTGAAATTTCAGAAATGATCAACTCTGTGCAAATGATGAATTGGCACAAAGGGAAAAAGGATCCTTTGGATTGTGGACATAGTTGTACAGTAATTTGTAATAGCTAATGTCTTTCAGTTTTGGTAATCTGCATAATTCCATGATGGGAATTCCTGTTCCCTGAAGCAGATCTTTGGCTCAGTTATAAAAAGGAGCCCCAAAACTCATCTTTATTCATGAATTTTATCATAATCGTATCAAATTGGGTGTCTTTTTCACCTTTATCTGGCTTGTGCTTGTCTATAAATGATTTGTAATATCTAACTTAGACTTGTTATTCCAAGCAACATTAATTTATCCATGTAGCTTGTGTTTTGTTTTTCCTGTTTGAGTTATCAAGACTATGTAGAAGTTAAATTAAGTATTTAGAACTTGAATCTGAGGCAGATTTCTAAACAGAAAAATGCATTGAATCATATCATATCTTATCGTATTGCATCTATCATATCGTGTTCCATTGTATCATAGTGCACCACATTGCATCTTATCACATTGTATTGCATCTCATCTTGTATCCTCTCCCATCGTATCACATTGCATTGTATTGGCATAGCACATCTCACCTCATTTCCTAATGAATGCAGCATTTGGGTCCAAGAAGAAAGAAGAGATCCTGTTTGTTCCTAAACCTGCAATCGACACTTCAGAGTTTTTTATAGTTATAGTGCTTTTAATACTCCAATTCTTCCTCTTCAAACGCTCGCAAATTAATGACAAAAAGCTAACATGCGATCCTCATATGACATCCATACAGCAGCTCAGAACGCTATTTAAATTAGTGTGCCATAGAGCAGTCACAAACCACCATCTGCTCTCCTGCCTGTAAATGGCAGTTTATGAACAGTTGGTACAGAACGAGGAAGGGGTCCATTCATTTAAACGGGCTCATGCGGTGAACATGTGGAAAGCCAGTGTAACATGTACCTGCGGTCGTTCCCTGTGTAATGGAGTCATAATCATTGCTTCCTTGGTCATAAATCTCAATCACAGCACCCACATGCTGTTACACTGTTGCGCATCTTAACCGTACGGTTTGCATAAAGGTGGGTTGATAATGATACAATGAATCATAGAGGTATAATGATAACGGCGATGAGAATAATGGTGACGGCACAGAAGATTGTGACTACAGTCCATGTTTATAGACGCTAACACACAGTTCTCAGTCAGGACATGCTTGCATCCATTTACTTTGATTAGATTATTTTGTTGTTTTTAGAAGTATAAATGAATCAGTGGGTCGTCTTGAGTCACGTTTTGTTGCAGAATGGATGAAAAATCAGGGACATGACATAGTTAGTATTCTGTTTGCACAGAAACAACTCAGAGCTGCTTCATCGTGTGTGTGTGTGTGTGTGTGTGTGTGTGTGTGTGTGTGTGTGTGTGTGTGTGTGTGTGTGTGTGTGTGTGTGTGCGTGCGTGCGTGCATGTGTGTGTGCTTACTGACTCGTTCAGTAATCAAAGCAGCATATGGAGAGGGATGGGCAGTGTCGCGAGTACTGATAAGAGAAGCATGAGGTGGCTGGAAGCAGAATTAGATTGGAAAATTTAGGCATAGGATATGCTTCTTTACTTTTCTTTACCACTCAAACTGTGTGGTCCGCTGTTACTGTTGTATATTGCCCGCTATACTGAACATTAATCATCAACAGAATGCAAAGAAACGCACAGTATGTACAGAGCCCAGCATAAGGCAGTATATCCCCTATTAAAAATAATGTATTACTCAATATCCAGATGAGCAAAAGTAATAAGATGAAAATAAGGACGATATGGTAACTAATATTCAGCTTCACTCCCAGAACTTTGATTGTGTTGTACTAATTTTTCATTCCTAATTTTGAATTGAAAAGAAATATATACACACTTTTTTGTATGCATCTTAAAATATCTTGTTTGCAATTAATGGCCTACATTTGGGGAAGTATTTTGTTGTATAGTCTGACATAAATAATGTTGATTTTGAAAGGAAATGAAGGTTTTCTGACAACTATGAAGGAGTGTATTCATTTATGCTGAGCACTGTTTATGAATTTTGACTGGCTATTGTCAGTCTTGCTAGTTTGACCCACCTGGACGAACGTTACCTTAAGGAAATAGCTCTGTTGTTGTGAGTCAAGGGCAGAAATAAAGAGTATTTTTAATGATTTTTGCTAATTCAATCTGAAAATAAATTGATTTGTACTTTGATATTTTTTTCTTTTCTTTTAAAAATGCAGGAAGGATTAGATCCCACAGTTCCCCTATAGCACAACTTCAGAGCTCATGATAAGGTAAAGTCAAAACCAGAGTCAGAATCAGCATAGGAGGTTACATGTGCACAAAATAATTATAATACAAATGTAACAAAATGAACAGCTAGAGAAAGGAGTATGATCAAAGTGAGGAGGTAATACATAATTATTTTGTTAGTACTTGAGTTGCTTATTTCTAAAGTTAGAAAAAAAAAATCCCTGAAAGTCTTACTAACGGTCAAGCAATTTTACTCGCTGGCTCCTAGTCGGTGAAAAAACACCAGGTTTGAGAAAAGACATAGACACATCTTTTATCTATTCCAAGAAGAGAGAGGATATCTTTTGAGAACAAACAGAATATCTTCAGTTAAACTGGATCAGAAACTAATTAAATTTGGTGTTCAGATAACAAGAATGAAAAAATGATCAGACAGCAGGAGGGATCGACAGAAGTTAACCCCCATTATCCTGCATATACATCACACATCCAAGTAAAGTTTGTGTCTGCACCAGGACCACACAAACACTTAATTCTCCACACAAATGACAGTGAAGTAAAACCATTTTTTTACATGCATTATGTGTAATTCTCTCCCTTTTATTCTCCTGTGATGTTCTGTATTGACAGAGAGCAGATAGCATTGAGAAGGCTAATTAACAACTCTATAAAGGACAGGTAATGAAAACACAGCCTGCTTCCACTTTATATATACAGTAATTATGCTCAGTATGCCTTAAATTAGTAATCAGAGTAATGTGCTATGTGATCCACTGTGTTGTGGTGCATATCTAATTAAGTGTGACACAGGTTGTGGTGTCTCGTGTGTATACTGACATGGAAGTGCAGTTTTGGCTCTGGAGAAAGTGTCCTCACAGGATAAAAATGTTCCTCTCCGGAGAAAGTCAAGCCAATGTCACTATGCAGCTTATTGTAACAGATCCAGGCTAATTTGCCGCTGCAAAATCTCATGAGCCGGTTGATTATTTGGGTGAGTACCTATCTCTCCGCTCTGATTTATTCTACTGGAGTGGGGATGAGGAAAGGGGATAAAAAGGGTGGAGCAACAGAGGCATGGTAGGAGTGATGAGATGGAAAAGAGAAGTCAATCCCTGACTGAGAGCTGGATCAGTCAGCTGTGTTTGCTTCTCAGCTTGGCTTCATGTTACACACACACACACACACACACACACACACACAAGGACACTGTTCGCAAAGTCACTCAGCAGGCTTTGGACGGAGGCGGTTATTGTGCAAATGTTTAGTCAAATTTAGAAAACAATTTTAAGTAAAACTCTAAGCCACAGCTGCTCACACAGAGACATTAGGAGGACTGTTGGTCGAAATTTTACAGTGCGGTTAATAGGTCTTTGACACTGTTAAAATGGACTCACTTTGTTTGGTGTATTTTGCAGTATATGGCTCAGAACGGGCAACAACGTCCCAGAGAAAAAGTAGGATATAAACAGAGAAATGGGCTTCAGTGATTTGCTGCTTCAACCCCTGTCAGTGTTTCACTGAATTTACTCATGTCCCCATTTCACTTTGAAATGAACTCCTGTGATGCAAAACACATTAAACTTTGTAAAAAACAAACAGGCAATTCAGGTTTTCTGAGTGTAATGTACCTTACGCAGAGTCATAAGCCTATCTAATTAAAAACATTAACAGCGCTTATCATGGCCGTCTATTGAAGGATGTCCTTTTACATTAGAAAAAGCTTAATTAATCTGTCGTATTTCACATTCCATTCTGAACACTTTTGGATAAAAGTTAATGCAGGTCACCTGAACCTGATTTTAAAAACAAGACCTTTTCTAAAGAGTAAAAAAAATATCATCTCAGGGCTGTAATGACTCTTGAATCCAAATGTCCTACTGTTACTAAACCTCTGAACACACTTGATGAGCTGTGGAAAACACTGTACTGATTTTGTCGTTACAGTTGTTCAAATATTCGTTTACATAATTTTGCCCTAAAGTGAAGGCATATGTCCAAAAAGCAAGGTTGATCAGTTCATCCTGTGGAATAAAAGAGCTGCTGTGATTTTCTGCCTGTACTTCACTGTCTACAGTATAGAGGTACAGATGAAAAGAGGCTGTGAGTGGGCTGATGTGGTTACATAAACATCTTCACCACATGACATGACACGATTTATGTTTTTTCTGTTTATATTTGCTTTTTTTGTCAAGAAAATTGTAAAA